ACCTCAGTCCCCCCCTTCAGCAACACACTTCCTCCAACAAAGCCACACCTCCTAATCCTTCCTAAATAGTTCACTGAATGGGAACTAAGCATTCAAACATATGAGCCTATGGGAGCTGTTCTTATTCAAACCACCACAGTGCTTACTTACTGAGGAGGGGGCATATGTCAAACACATGTGGAAGTCAAGGGACAATTTACTGTCTGTTTTATCCTTGGATCTCAGGGATTGAACTTGAGTCCTCACACTTAGCAGCAAGCACCCTAACCCACTGAGCCATCTTGTTGGCCCTAGTTTGGTGCTTTGAGGCAGAGGACAGAGTCTCACTTAGTAGTATGGGCTGGCCTAGAACCACTTGTGGTGATATATTGTTTATGATTTAATAAAGCTTGCCTGAAGATCAGAGAAGCAAAGCAGCCAGCCGCTAGAGAGTTCTCACCTCTACCAATGCTCAGACTGAAGGGGCAACCTACCAAACCTCAGATTGCATCTCCAGACTGCACTGCTCTCCATCAAACATCAGAATCCCAGACTGCCCTCAGAGTGCACTATGCTCCTCATATTCTCTCTAGTGCTGGGATTAAAGGCTTGAGCTCTGTTTCTCTTTTAGATTGATTCACTCTCGTGGGTGGCCTTGAACTCAGAGAGATCCATCTGCCTCTGCCTCCTGAGTCCTGGGATTAAAGGTGTGTGCCACCATTGCCCAGTTTCTATGGCTAACTAGTGTGGCTGGCTTTGCATTCTGATGTCCAGACAAGCTTTATTAGATCATAAACAATATACTACCACAATTCCTCTTTTTGTCTAATACAAAAAGGCTACAACTAATATAAAAACTATATACAATAATAAGTCCATAGCGCCACAGAGGTTCTCCTCTTTCCTTCCCCAGCCCTGGGGTTACAGGCACACACCACCACACAGGGCTTTGCACATGGGTGTTCAGCCGTTTCTGCAACCCCAAATTCTTTTTATGTATCTACTGAAATGATACGTGATTTTCTCTTTCTTATTTATCCAGCAGGGTTTTTTGTTTCTTTTTTCTTTTTTCCCCTCTTCTTTTGGATTGTGTATTGCTAGTAATTGTCTTAGTTAGGGTTTCTACTGCTGCAATGAAACACCATGATCAAAAAGCAAGTTGGGGAGGAAAGGGCTTATTTTCCTTACACTTCCACATCATATTCCATCATTGAAGGAAGTCAGGACAGGAATTGAAACAGGGCAGGATCCCAAAGGCAGGAGCTGAGGGAGAGGCCATGGAGGGGTGTGGCTTGCTCTCCATGGCTTGCTCAACTTGCTTTCTTATAGAATCCAGGACCAGCAAGCAGTCCAGGAATGGAAACACCCACCATGGATTGAGCCCTCCCCCATTAATCACTAATTGAGAAATGCCTTACAGCTGGATCTTTTTTTTTTAAACATTTTTAAAAAGAGTTTATTTATTTATTATGTATACAACATTCTGCTTCCATGTACATCTGCACACCAGAAGAGGGCACCAGATCTCATAACGGATGGTTGTGAGCCACCATGTGGTTGCTGGGGATTGAACTCAGGACCTCTGGAAGGGCAGTTGGTGCTCTTAACCGCTGAGCCATCTCTCCAGCCCTACAGCTGGATCTTATGGAGGCATTTCCTCACCTGAGGCTCCTGACTCTCAGATGACTCCAGCTTGTGGCAAATGGACACACAAAACCAACCAGTACAGTAATGGACCCTATCTCCACTATTTTATGTTTATTACCTGGTTGTTTAATGTTTCACTGTTTTCTTTTTAAACTAGTGTTTATGCATCTTTAATCATGGTCTACTTTCCAGTGATATCCCACATCAAATCTAATGTGCAAAGTTTACATAGCACCTCCACTTCCTCATCCTATTCTTTGTTTTGTGTCATCTATTTTACTTCTACATAACTTTTCTGCATCATAGTAAATGGTTATTTATCAGTTTCCCTTTTTGCTTTTTTTTTTAAATGCTGAGGCTCAAACCCAGGGACTGGCATGCACAGGACACAACCCTTCCAATCACATCTGTAACCACATATGTACCCCCTTAAAATGGAATTTATTTCCTCCTTGAAATAGAGTCTATGTTTCCCTGGATGACCTAGAATTTCCCATATGAAACAGGCTGGCTCAAACTCAGAGATCTACTTGCTTCTGCCTCTTCAGTGCTGGGATTATAGGTACATGCCACATCACCCAGCAAATGTTTTATATACATTTATATACATTATATGTGTACTGTGTGTGCCCATGAGCTGGTGGGAACCTAAAGAGGGTATCAGAACCCCAGGAACTAGAGTTCCTTAGCCCTATCCCTCCTGTCCCCTCTATTTGGGTGTGTCCTGTAGAGTCTGGGCAGACAGAAAGCTTTGAGAGCCAGTAAGCAAGGGTCCCTGGGAAATCATACTGGGAAGCCAACCGGCCAGTCTGATTCCATGGCTCAGGAGTATCGCTATGTAACTAAATTCCCAGGCGGGGGTCAGAGACCCAAGTTCATGCCTCTTTCTGAGCTGTAGCTCTCTTATGCCTCTCAGCCAAGATACCATCCCCTAAAGTAAAGACCAGCCTCAAGCTTGGTGGTAGTGGTGCATGCCTTTAATCCCAGCACTTGAGAAGCAGAGGCAGGTGGATCTCTGTGAGTTCGAGGCCAGCCTGGTCTAAAGTGCCAGGACAGATTCCAAA